AAAGAAATAAGTTTTCTAAATTAAATACAAAAATTAATTAGTGATTAAATTAATTAATAAAAATAATGACATGACCTTTTTTTGTTTTTTTTTTGTTATTTTAGGAAAAAAAATAAAATATAATTAAGTTAGTAATAAAACCTATTTATTCTAATTATTTTTTAATTATGTACAAAATAATTAAAGTTATATAAATTAATCAAACATAATTAAATTAATTAATTTATTGATAAAAGTAAATATCTTAAATTTAATTGGATAGAAAAATAATACTTTTGGTGATTTTTTGATAAAAGAAAATAATTTAATTGGTTAGTAAATAAATTAATTAATTAATTAAAGTAAATATAAAAAGAAAAAAGAATAAGAAATGGGCCTGAAAAATGGGGGTGCCAATAGTCAGATCTGGGCCCAAAAGAGAAGGTCCACGTTGACTTTGAGGATCCCATGCTGCGCGTTTGACTTGGCTTTAGTGCACCTTCAGATGATGGCCATCAGATTTGGCCATCTGACACTTGGCTGGCTAGATTGGGAGGATGTATGGTGGTCTTTAGGCTTACAAACGCGCTGGATAACCTGAAAGAAAATTAGAAAAATACCAAATGTTGGAGGCAGGGGTCGAACCCCTAACCTCAAGCATCCTAATGCCTTAAACGCTGCCTGGCTACCACTGGGCCAATCTCTTCTGTTTGTACATGTAATGAACAATAATAATAATATATTAAAAAAAGAATTAGTGGAGAATAAAAAAAAACGCGCCAGGTTTGAATGGGCCAGTGGGATGGTGACACGTAGTCGTCTCCTTCCTCTCTCTGTGGTTAAAAGGTTTGAAAGCCTTTACCTACAGACAACGTCCGTCGCTATAGCCCCTGTCATTCTTAAAATCAAGCACAAACATGATAAATGAAAAACAAGGCCATGGTTGAATTCTTCTGGTCCTGCTGGTTACATTGGTGGCCCTTTTATGGCCCAATTTTGCTTATACACAGAAATCCCAAATTGAGCTCGTAAACCCTAATAATGGTGAAACTTCATACAAGCCATGAAAACGCAATTAAAGAATACAGAGAGCTTACAAACATGATTGTGATCAAGAATGTACCATTATCTTATGCTATATGTGCAAGAATAGTGCTATTCGATTTCAAGAAAAGAGCTATGCCGTGAGCGACTTACAGTGATATATAGGGCTCGAAAATGCTTGGTCTTGATTGCTTTGGCTTGCTGAGACTCCCAGGAATCGATTGGGATGAGCAAAGAGTCTTGTATTGGCCTCTAAGTGCAAATTCGATTCACCATTTTTTCTTGATTTTTTCAAGTTTGATTCTTGTTCATGCGCCTCCTTCTAACCTGTTTTTAGGTCTGCCTCGCCTCTATATGTATTGAGGAAGGGATTAGGGTTGATAACTGATATCAATCTTCCTCCATCAATGAATTAGATCCTTGATTTGATTCCCTTTGAAAACTTTCCAAAATTGGCCTATTTCAATCTTTTTGTTCATACCATGCCTTGATACGTATTTGATTACTTTCTAGCTGTAATTGAAACCTGAAACAAGCACAAAATCTTTGGTTTTCAATATTTTGGATTTTATATGATTTGTTTTGATTTAAATTGAATTAATTCAAATAAAAATCAAAATAAATAATAAAAACATGATAAGGATAAGTGGGAAGGGCTAGAGCTCGTGGACTATGTTGTAGACTCAAAACAAGTGAAAAATATTGGGCCCATTTGGCAAAATTTGAAGTTTTGGGCATAGTTGACTTTTGGCAATTTTGCAAAAAATGTCAACTTCACCAATGCATAACTTCCTCAATTTTGACTCTTTAGAGGTGTTATTGGACTTTTTAGAAAGCTTGAGATGTCCTATAATCAACCCTTTTGGTCTCATCTCAATTTGATATTCCATGCTCATGTATGAAGCTTTGACAAAAAAAGTGTTTTTGTTGACTTTTCAAAATGACCTATAATGTCCAAATTCATAACTTCTTGTGAGTGGATATTTTGAACTTGGGATATGAAGATGGATTGTAGGGAATTGCATCCTCTTAAAAATGAGCTTTGTATGGGTCATTTCTCATAAAATATGAGAAAGTTATGCTTGGTCAAAGTTGAGTTGACTTTTCCTATAAACCCTAATTTAGCAACTTTTGAGTCTTGATGAATTATGAGCAATCCTTGATGAATCATGATCAACACTTGATAAAATGATTAAATATACTTCAAAATGAGGATGTTGACCAAAAATCTTGAAGTTTGATTGTATGTGGGCCACATTTGACTTTTGCCCTAGCAAAGTCGATTTTCATGCCTCTGAGCAATTGATTGAGAAAATTTCCTCTGCAAGGCTTGAAACTTGACATGGATGATCTTGTGAACATATTAGGACAATGTTGAGTATTTTGGGTCCCTTGAACTCAAGTATCTTGATGCAACATGAAACCCTAATTTGAGGTAGACTGCCTTAGGAGAGCTTGTCTGGCCAACCCTTGGACTACCTTGAGCAACTTGAGGATCTTTCTTGAAATGTTTTGAGAAATATGGGAGGGCTCATTTTGAAGTGGTGCTCATTTTGTGATGTCGGGAATGGGCTTATAGATGCCATTTGGACATTACTGACGGGAGATGGGCTTAAAGATGCCATCTGAAGAAGTGTCGATCGCATTAGAGATTCCTTAGCGAGAGCTTGTATACCTGTTGAGGAAGATTCCGCTGGGGAATACTGATCTTTGTTGAGAGAAGTAGAATTTTAGGAGCTTCGGTCGTCCGTTATTCTGCTGGTGAGTCGTCTCAGTTTGAATTTTAGGAACTTCGGTTGTCCGTATTCTACTGAGGAAACATCTCTGTTGAATTTTAGGAACTTCGATCGTCCGTATTCTACTGAGGAAACATCTATGTTGAATTTTAGGAACTTCGGTCGTCCGTATTCTACTGAGGAAACATCTCTGTTGAATTTTAGGAACTTAGGTCATTCGTATTCTACTGAGGAAACATCTCTGTTGAACTTTAGGAACTTCGGTCGTCCGTATTCGACTAAGGAATCATCTCTGTTGAATTTTAGGAACTTCGGTCGTTCATATTCTATTGAGGAATCATCTCTGTTGAATTTTAGGAACTTCAATCATCCGTATTTGACTGAGGAATCATCTCTGTTGAATTTTAGGAACTTCGGTCGTTCGTATTCTACTGAGGAATCATCTCTGTTGAATTTTAGGAACTTCGGTCGTCTGTATTCTACTGAGGAATCATCTCTGTTGAATTTTAGGAACTTCGATCGTCCGTATTCAACTGAGGAAACATCTTTTTTGAGTTTTAGGAATTTCGGTCGTCCGTATTCAACTGAGGGAACATCTCTATTGAAGAGGAAAATTGAATTTTAGGAGCTTCGGTCGTCCGTATTCAACTGGGGAATCATCTATGTTGACATTCAGGAACTTCGGTCGTCCATTATTCAACTGAGGTAAAGGCTTCATAGCTTGAATTCTGTGAGAATTTGATTGTATCTTTCCTGAAAGGTAAAGGTTAGCTGTATATAATGCATGATATGTATCAAGCAATGATGTTCTCAAAATAAATGAGATTGTATTTGTATGATGCGTATATGCATGTGCCATGATGTATGAAAAATGCAATGTTTTTAGCTGGAGAAAATAAATCCCGGATTGCTGCTGGAGAAAAGAGTTGAATTCTTCGTTTTCGCTGGGGATAGTGAATGACGATGATTATGAGAATAAACCTGCAAGAGAGGATAACTCCACTGGGGAATAAACTGATGAGGAAATGACTCTGTAGGGGGATCATGCTCTGCTGAGGATTCCGCTGATAAATTCAGCTGATAAATTCAGCTGGGGATGAATTACCGTTGCTAGTGGTAATGAACCCTGTTTATTTATGAATTTCTGAAGGTACCAGTTTCACCCGAAGTTTCAATATTTCTCTAACACTTTTTTTTTACATTTGATTGATAAATGTAAAGAAACACTAACATTTATAGAATTTGCATTTTGGAAATTAGAACCACTTTCATATATTTTTATTAATAAAACAAATTTATTTTATTTAATTGAATTTTATTGAATCATATATTTTAGTTTTTCAATATAAAATATTTTCACTACAATATTTCGTTTTTCATTCTAAAATATGAATAATTTAGTTTTTCATTATAAAAACATATGAATAATTTAGTTTTTCAAACTAAAATATTTTCATTACAAAAAATAAATTTATAATTCTCTTCTTTATCTTAATGTGATATGTTTATACCAGGTTTTGGTCCCTTATGTGTCTAATACTACAAATTTATTTTATTTTTATAATTTATAAAATATTTTTAGATTAAAAATTCTTACTCAAAATAAAATACGTTTTTTTTAAATTTTTAGAAGCAAGTTAATAATAATATGGAACACAATTAAATAAAAATATAGCCATTTATTTTGAAAATTTTGGGATTAATTAATAGACCACTTTATAAATTATGGTTGATGCCAAAAGTAAAATATTTAATTATAGAATTAAATATATTTTTAATCTTATAAATATTTATAATGATTTTTGTTTTTCATTTTTGTAAATAAATTTTTAATAATATAGTTTATAGTTTTTGTTTATGATTTGTGTGGGGGCATAAACCAAACACAACAACCATAAGATCAACCCTAAAAGGGTAATACATTAAAAGAAATCAAATACTAAATGACGATACACACGAAAAAAAATTAGTGAACCCAACGCTGAGAACAAAACTAGAATGTAAAAGAAATACGTGTACACGTCTCAAAACATCAGACTAAACCATAGACAAACAAACTCATCTTTTGAGGAACGACATCTGAAACTGACCGTCAACACGGTAACAACTTCCCGAAACCATAACTCGTAGACAACGAATATATGACTATTTCTAGCCTAAAATCATTCCAAATTTATTGAAACTGATTTAATCATATGAAAACTCTATAGAAGCAGATGCAAGTTCCAAAGCTTTTGAATCATGCAGATCTCAACAAATCTGAAGCATAACCAAGAAACCAAAACAGAAAGCAATCCACCAAACGGTAACAACAATCCAGAAAAACAATGATAGAAATAGATCAACGCCATTGACTGAAACTAGCCTTCACCGCCGAAACTAGAGTACACTTACCCTCACGGGTTTTTGAAACTAAACTCAATAATTAGACCCAACAGAGACACCATCATGGTCGAGCTGAGGGACATACCTAACATGTTTTTTAAGATCTGAACAACACCAAACCGAGCAACCACCTCCAGAGGAGCGGTGCCAGAGATCTCCCGGTTGAAAGCCAAAGTGATGGTGTTGACAATCCAGCGAAGCGTCAGACCAAACCGATCACTCCGTTTATAAAAACAGATCTAAACAAGCTTCTATCTTTGAGAAAAGCCACGACGGCGGTTTCAACATCTGTGACGTTGTTACTCCGGTTTGAGTTAGATGTGGTACGACCTTGAAGGCTACGCACCACCACCTTCTAATGCTACATTGTGACGAGAACGAGCTTGGATTTAGAGAAGAAAGTGGCGGCGAACGACTGAGGTTAAGAGAGAGAAGAGAGCGTGAAAGGCGTGTGAGAAAAAAGACAGTGGAAAAACTTATGATTTATTTGAATAAAGAAGAAAAATATCACTCAGAAAAATGACTAAAATTACTAAAATAAAACAAATTACCACGGGTAGATGTGAACGTATCTATGAGATATCATCGGTAGACTATTCATTTTAATGTTCATCTTTTAAATCTTTATTTTGTTTTTGTTTTATATTAATTCCCTGTAGAATTTATTTTTGATTAAATTGTAGAACATTTTAAACAAAATCAGATTAACTTTAAAAATTTAATACTATCTTGGTCAAGTATATTAATCTAAAAAAAAAAAAATATCTCCTATTTTATTTTTCTATTTTACAGTTATAGATTGTTGATTGTAATAAAGATCATTGCATACATATAGATCCACGAGCAGATATGAACGTGTATATGAGATACAAACTCTAGACTGTTGATTTTGATGTCCATAATTTAAATATTTATTTTGCTGTTGTTTTATATAATTGAGATTAGATTATCAATTGTACAATTTATTATAAGTACAGTTCAATACTTAAAAATTTGTGCATATTATTAACGTATTTTTATAATTATGTAAATGTTAATAAATTGAAGAATAAATTCAAACTTGAGGAACAATAATTTAATAGAGACATGTAATTGTGCAACAAATTCATTCTAGTTATATAGAATATTGAGAATGCACTATTATGTGTTGAAGTTCCCCTTATCATCGTGTCATCCAACCATTCATATTGTATTTGACATAAAAAAAAATAAAGCACTTTTTTCTTGGAACAAAAACAAATTACTTTACCAAACCAAAAACAAAAACAAAAAAATGAAAGAAGAAAAAACACACGAAACGTTTCGGTTTGCCTCCTCCGTTAATGTGTAGTGCATTATGATCTTGATATGGTGGTTGAGTCTCTATGATATCCTTGTGAAGGAGTAAACCAAGCAAGTGTTATCTTTGGGAGAGGGAAGAAGAACCCTAGCTCTATATTTCCACTTGCAAAGATTTGTGGACTTGATCAACACCATATGGCAAATACAACAACAAGCTTACATCTACTCTCTCTGAACCAAGCAAGGTAAACAATGTCATCTCTTTCTGAAAAATCAAATTTTTTTCCAAATAGATTTTGGGTCTGTCAGAGCACCTTTTCCGTTTTGGGTAATGATAAAAAATAGATTTTGGGTCTGTCAGAGCACCTTTTCCGTTTTGGGTAATGATAAAAAATAGATTTTGGGTCTGTCAGAGCACCGTGTGACCACCCCAGTTGGGGGAACCAACCAGGAACGATCATCCAAAGCTAAGATGATGACCACAGCATGCAGTTCATCTTGGCCGTTAATCACGCTCTGATCACACGGTCTTGCTTCATCCACCAGACTTATGTTCCTGTCTCCTTTGAAATCAAGGACACAGTAGTACGAGCCTATAGAACAGATCCTGTTCAAGTAAGGTCGTGCTATTTCATGCTTAGGTTCAAGTATATAAGTCTTGAATATTTTCTACACATCAACAATGTGGGAGTAATGTAATAGTTTTTGTTGAAACTCTACTTTTATTTAACAACATTTTTTCAGCTCAGAACTCAGTTCTGCCTTGGTTAAATTAACTGATGGTGCATATCTAAACAATGATGATTTTTACACTGATTTGCGTTCACTTTCAATAGAGCTGTGAATAGCTTGTTAGTGAGCTAGTTGTCAACTACGTACTGACCACATCACACTTTATTTTTTAGGCACACAAGCCTTAGCAGAATATCGATGAGAGTCTCATGTACGCTGCTAACTAGAGTTTGGTTAATGCGCTGCTTAAGGAAAAAAAAACATTGGTGGAGTTCTTCAAGCATGTTCAGCAACACATGGGTGATAATGAAGATGAGAGATATGGAGATTCATTTTGTTAGTTTCTTTGGGAAAATCGGGTTGCTGTCAAAGATAAAATGGTCATTACCATTTCCTATTCCTAGTGAGAATTGATTACTTTATATTTTTTATGTATCTGTATGTTTGTGCAAATGTGTTAGTCTTGAGATGATTGCATAACTTTATAGACCATTGTTGGTTTGATTTATAGATGATAATGATTTCTTATCTGATTGCTACTTGCTCTGTTCATTTCCCATGCTAACAATTAACAGGACAAAAGCATGGGAGGTATAATTTCGCATGCTGCTGAAATTTGTGGCTTATAGCTTTGATATTTTATCCTTAACTTTTTTCAGTTTCCTTGTCATTTTAGAAATGAGAAAATAAGAGTGAAAGTTTGCCGGGCTTTGAAAATACCAATCAAATCTCTAAGTAGACTTGGCTTTACACAAATAGAATAATCACAACTTCTTGACTCTCATTAGCACCCTACGGTTAAGTCTCTTTGTCTTCCACATGATTCTTTTGTATGCTATAAGCCATGGTAGATTTTGATCAGGAATGGCAAGGTGTGTAAATACTTACTTAAATAAAAGATGGAATAGATTGTTTAGCTCAATACAGCTCCTCTGTTGCAAGGTGAGTTCTTATTCATGTGCTATATTTGTGTTGAAATTCAATTATCGCTAGATTGGGATACTTTAGTTATTAAAATTTGTGAAGCCATGGTCTTTGTGCTGATTGTTGTCAGTAGGACAAAATATCTTTTCAAGTCGATGTTTGTACGAATGTTGTAGGACACTATATGGTATAAACATGTTAGATTAGCTTTGGGTTAGGACTTATACAGTCATAAGCTTATCCTGGACTCGTCCTTCACAATTAGCGAACTATTCTTTCGTCTTTTACTAAAGAATACCATGTCAACGTCACAATTAGCGGCAGCCGCTAGTATTTGGAAGAGGGCTCTGCTATTTTAGTTCAAGTTTATTATCTCTATATTCTTAATATTTTTGACTATTCTGAATTGAAATTTGTAATGAAAACTGATTCATTGTCACTTTAGAAGAAGTGAGAACACAAGATTGAGAACTTTTATATGATGGCTTTTGAAGATCATTTAGCAGATGCTGCAACGTTAGACAAAAAATCGAATAATAGAAGAGACACCTTTGATATTTCCCCTTAATATAACCAGTAAAGTTGTTGCTTTTTTTATACTCCAAGTGAAATCGAGTGATTGGATAAGAATGGTAAGATTTGATCTCGGTTAATTTCACTATGAGAACATAGTTATACAGATTAATAACGGTTCTAAAAAACATATAGAGGGAGGGAAAATGAGGAGATCATGGAACAAAGATTTCATATGTTCACTTGAGAGATTTCACAACCGCAACATGGTTATAAATACTTTATCAATTTGATCCTAATGGAGGTGGCAAATGTGAGTTGGTGTATTAACGATTGATCCACTAAGTGAATATAGACTGTGTTCATAAAACTCCAGCACTGCAATGATCTTTTATTATATTACTCTTTAGGATGAATCAATACTACAATGTTATCTAAGTCCCGCATCCGAATTGTTAGAGTGAATAGTACGGAAAGTGAGGTATAAAAGAGAAGTGAGTGATACATTGCTACATACTTACCTGGATGGGGTCAATGGATGATCATGTAGGTCCATGGCCTAGGCAAGCGATCTCCATTGCACTTAGGAGAGGTGCTAGCCTAAGGTCTACCCAAGTGGTGGAACCTACATCATAATTTGTTGCTGTGGGGGCCTGCGTTCGCGCGGCCCCCTCTCAATCTAAGTTATTAATAATTGGATCTTGTTATTTAAAGACTATTTTAGACATGTTTAATACACTGTGTATGTATGTATGGGCGATCAAGAAGGCTCATTGCCTGGGCCGAGTGGTTTTTAGAGACAAGAACCTTTTCACTTAAGGATAAAAATGACTCCTTCCCACAGAAGAAGCTGTTGCTTTTTATGTCTTATGTTTGGCAGTAACTCAGTATGTATGCTTACACATTTTGGTGAAAGTGTATATCTTGTTTCATTTGTGTTTTTGAATGAAATATGTTAATCTAACTGTACAGTATTGTTTTGTATGCTATAGCCATGGCATGGTAGATTATGATCATGAAAATGGTGAGGTCAGTTATTATTCATTGTTGTTTCATGTGCTATATTTGCATTGTAATTCAATTGTCGATAGACTGGGATATGTTAGTAATTGAATTTCTTTAAACTGTGTACTGCTTCACTAGCCAAGAACAATTTGAAAAGTTACTGCTTCACATGAACATTTCACTAGACAAGAACAATCACAAAAAGGGACACAACACATACATTTCTGTAAAATAGTAAGTAACCGATAAATTTTTTTGAAGCTTTGTCAAATACATTTCTGTAAAATAGTTAGTAACCGATAAATTATTTTAAAGCTTTGCCTAATCTTTCTGCTATTCAGTAATGCGAACATAGTCTCCTTGCGAGAATTGCGTCTCAAGATCCTTGCAAGCCGCTGCAGCAATATCCATATAGATCACACGCTTCACGATAAGATAGAGAGACTGAATTTTCGATCCAGGTATGCACTAACGACACAAATTAGTCCAAAAACCTAATTTTGTTCTTCATGATTATAGTCCAAAAACCTAATTTAATTCTTCATGATTATCACACGCCTCATGAATGCGACCAGGAATGGTATTTCTTACCATTGAGAAGACAAGTGACAAGAGGGGCTGAAGTACTTATAACAGGATGCTTGTATTATGGATTTCTTGTAGGATCAGTATGTTGAATATTTTGATTTCTGGCATTAACAAGCGCAGCTCCTGGAGGCATGGTGAAGAATGAGTAGCTCAGTGCTCTTCTGAGCTCTTATACCATATTAGTGAATGAAACTGAACCATAGAGAGGATCAAATAAAAAAGAATGCGAGAGAGAAATTGACATTGAAGATCGGATTATGTATTCTAATTTTCAGAATGCATATTACAACTGAAGAAAGTGTTTGTCTACAAGCTTGTTCTTAACTAACTCGTGGAACTGAATTCTTATACTTACATATAAAATGCTACTGAGCTATATCTCTGAGACTAATACATTTCACTCAAATTAATTGGTGTATCTTAGAATTATCAGAATCAGATGCATTTTTGTGGACTTTTACTCTGTATCAACCTGAAGTACTATAGTTATTATTTTCGAATTTACGCTTAATATCTACTTTGTTCTATATAATAAATGAACGTTGGAGCAGCTTCTTGATATCTTTTTCTCATTTGAGGGAGGCAAGCTTCTGAATCAGGGGAAGGAATCATGTACTTGTGATGTTGTTTGCGGATCGATGACTTGTTGCCGGCTGGATTCGTACTGGCCCAGGGATGGAGGCTTGGTTCTTTCGCAACGTTGCTTCTTGTACTTCTTTCTGCCAATGCCTGAGAATTTTGTTGCTGCACCATGTTTTAGAAGTTATTCAGCATGTCATTGACTCCTTGCACGCAAATATTAGCCTGCACCAGTTGAAAATCAGGAAGCATGTCTTGCCCCGGCATCACAAGCAGTAGTGGAGGTCCGAGCCAAGGTTCTCCCTAGTGGAATTGTGGACCAGAGCCGAGGAATGGAAGAGGTTGAAATGCTCCATGTCCCGTCCCCGTTTGTACATGATCTTCATGTGAAGAAGAAACAAATGGAGAAGCTACCAGGACTTCATCATTTTTCCCTTAAGGCGGAGATGGAGGATTTCTGGAAGTCTCAGCGGCAGCGGCAACAATGGCTTGCCGTTGGACGTAGGAGAGAGTAGCTATGGATGCTGCCATAGTCGATGGATCTGATGGAGGATAAGAAGGGGAAGAAGTTCAAATTTGAGAGAAGTGATCGGAAAATAAAGATCTCAACTTTGAGGGAGAGGAGATCTGGATTTCTGGCGGAGGAGATCTGAATGAGAGAGAATTTGAACACATGAGAAATGACACGCTTCCTTCTTTAAATAACATAAACGGTTGGAAACTGAATGTACGTGACAAGGCATGGATTGCGGTCATCCGTCAGATTGATCTGGCAGTTGGCAAAGTCCTCGCGGAAAGAATTGTCTGTGTAGTGGATAAAGGAGTCTATCTGTACTGTACGGGATGTTCCGTTACTTCTTTGTTAGACCTTCGCTCTTTGAGTTATGTAGATGGTAAGGAACAATATGATAACTTGTCACATGTCAACCCAACATTGTGAATTTGTTAATAGTATTGCATGTGATATTCTGCAAAGATACTCATGTCTTTCTAGTGTTGGCAATCAGAAAACAACATTAATCATCAATTAATTTGCCTCCTCGGCTGACACATAACACTCATACTTCTCAGGTTACATGTCATTCATGCACACACAATCGATTAATATTTATTATATTCTAGTAAATGTAATAAAAATTGTATATAATTTACTTTAAACTATTTAACTCCTCAACAGTAGAACATGTCAGCCAATTGATACCTCTGAACCAAAACAACACTTTCTATTTTACATTAGAAACATAGTGATTAAAGAAGTTTATGATGAGGTTAGGTTCATGTGCTGCATTATTTTTTTGAATGAAGCATGAATTGTTTGCTATTATATACGGTTAGTGTCAAAGAAGATGAAGAAGAATATTAGGAAGTTGATCATACCATTGAAGAAGATGAATGCATTCAACTACGTCATAAAAAATTACACAACAATATTTCAAAGATTTCCCAACCTATTATCTTAACCATTCTCCTGAAGCCCATTTTCACTCATTAAGAACATGTTTATCCCTATGATAGTTGAAACACATGTCTACTCTCTGCCGTTTTCATGTCCCAGACAATTCAGAAATTTGTAAGTTACAGCAACATAGTCTTATCCCTTCACAGAATTGAATTAGGTTAATGATAATATCTTTCAACGTTGCAACATAGCCGTATGCCTTCAGTTCCTATAATTGAAGTAGGCTATTGATAATATCGGTTAAATCTATTGTTTGCAGCTCAAGTCACAACAAAGCTAAGCTCATTCGTTCTGCAACTGGCAACCTGTGGGTCAAGTTATGACAGTTTTATGTACTTTAGACTTATGACTTGCTGTTCTAGATATCAAGGTTTTAGAGTTAATTGTTAGAGTTAGTTAGAGTTGTATTACCATATATGCAGAAAGTTGTAACTAACTCTTCAAGCAATATACAATTTCGGTTGATACAAACCTTTGTATTTCAGTTTGTTTTACTCATTTCTTCATCAACATGAAGAATTTTATGATGATATCAGAGTTTGATTATTTCCTTTTCATAACTTATTCTCCGAACTCAAGAAAATTCTCAAAGATCTTTTCCGTTCTTTTCACCATTTCTTTTATTTGGATAAAAGAAAATTCGGTGGAGACTCTTGTTATCCACAATATTTACGATAAAACACAAATCCAAAAATCAGTTCTTCCACCGTATTACACAAAGCTTCATATTTCTGTTTGTTTTACTCATTTCTTCATCACCGTGAAGAATTTCATGATGATATCAGAGTTTAATTCACGTAATTCTCCATAAATTCGTGTAAACCAACAAACCGACAATTCTCCATAAATTCGTGTAAACCAACCGTAAATTAAAAAACTTAAACTAATTTATTTAGAGTTAAGATTGCAACCGTAAACAACTCACAAACTAATTAAATTCGTGTAAACCAACGAACCGAAATGACTCCACTAAATTAAAAAACTTAAACTAATTTATTTAGAGTCAAGGTTGCAAATGTAAGCATGTCACATAAACTCACACCAGCAAACCGAAATCACTTAAGTAAATAAAAAAAACATAAATTAATTTATTTATAGTTAAGGTTGCAAATGTAAACATGCCACATAAACTCACGAACTAATTATTAAAAAATTTAAACAATTTTTAGTATGAGTTAAGAATGTAATTTTTAGAATTCCAAATTAACTCACAAACTGAAAAGAAAAAAAAAACAAATAATGGCTACTCGATAAGAGTAATTGTAAAAATCTTTGTGGGAGAGAAGTTGCATGATCCTTTATTTATAGTTATCTTAGCTATTAATGATAAGAAAATAGTCGATACGGGACTTGAGACTAGGGCTTTTTTTGGGTTTCAGGAATCAAAATCCACTTGAGAATTAGATCGATAGATCTGACCCATTGGACCGACCGAAACAAGGCATAGACCGATAATGGATAAAATTTTAATCTGATTTATGAATGAAGACTCAGACCAATTATCCAATGAGTAAACATAACAAATAATATAAATTTTGTTTTTATTTCCTCACTTTTCTCACTCCTAGTTACGCTCTCCATGTTTCTCCTTCCTTCCTCTGACGACCTCCTCTTCCCCTCTCTCTTTCTGATCACGCTCACACCAAATACTTTAGTATAATGTTACTGATTTTACATGTTCTTCTTCTTCTTCTTCTTCTTTGTGAGTGTTGAGTATATTTGTTTCAGAGAGGCTTAGAGTTGATCGTTCAAGGCTTCCATAAACTTGTAATGTATTCAACTTCAACCTATTTGGTTTGTTATTTTTCTTATATTATTCCTTATGTTTACCATGTTTTCATGTTTGATTTGATGAATCGTTTATTACCATGTTTCAGTTTTGACCTATTTTTTTCACCTAAAATATTTTGTTACTTTCTGACCTAAATATTTTGATTGTTTGGGAGTTTGTAAATGCATGTTATAATTTTGACATGAGTTTTGTGTTTCACGTTTGATTAATAATAATAAAGGGTTAGGATTTTCTATTGCTGAGTTTTGGTCATAATAAATGTACAACTAGGATTTTGAATAATTGTTTGTCTTCTGTTCTTAATAAAGTAGGGCTTTTGTTACTGAGCTTTGTTCTAATTTCATATTACATTATTGTTTGATTGTTTGTATTTTCTTCCATGTCTTTTCAAGATTCCTCATTGACTCCAACCATAGATGATCTAATTGATATTAATATGTTGCTTGGTGACATTGGGGAAGAGGAGACAATGGATTTAGGTAACTTAGAGATTGGTGAGTTGATTGATTTGGAGCTTCTAGTTCTAACTAATAACACTGCTCAAAATACCCCCACTGAAAATATTATTACTCAAAATAACACTACTCAAAATACTACCAATACTCATGGGTTAACCCATCAAGTTGACCAAGATCAAAGTTCTGAGAGTCGGGGAAATGCTTTTGGTAAAGCTCTTCATCCTAAAAAAATTGTTGTTCATACTGAAGTGGTGCTTATTGAAGGACCTGATGGCATTAAGAAGTGGAAGTGCATATGGTATGGTAAGCTTTAGACATATGATACGAAGTGGAAAAGTACCTCTAATGGTAAGAACATTTAGAAGCTTGCATTCAGAGAAAGTTGATGTTGAAAGGTAATAATGACAAAGATGTTGCACAATCTAGGTTAAACATAGGTGATAATACTCCTAATTTGGAAACCTAGATGTTAGTTTAATGGCAGAAAATAAAAAATATAGTGGCAGAGAAGTAGAGAAACAATATATTAAAGGAAATGAATTGTATATTTGATCGATAGAAATGTTACAATAAATAATGGAAAGGAAAAACTGAAAGTTATCCCACGTAACCAGGATTTTAGGGAATTGAATAAACTAATTTGTTCCTAAAGTATAGCAACTACTATTAGCTTGCTCCTAAATTATAGCAACCACTAATTGACTAGGTTGCTAAAAAACTG